GTGCCATGCAGACATCCTAGTTGCCTCCTTAGCTCATTAATTCTCAAATATTTTCCAGACTTGCTTGAAAACATATTTTTGTATTTGCTTTCTTTTCATTTCTTAAAGGGCAAAAAATATTCTTCTAGTGTCCCCTTCCTACTACTTACAGTGTAGGACAATTTGGTTTTTAAGCATTATCTTTAGGTCTATGATGAATATTTACATTTGTGTCTTATACAGCTCTTTGCAAAGGAATTCAGGAAGTAAAAGCATAGGTATATATCCAGCTGCAAAGCTAATTCCTCTGAATTTCAATCCCAGACTTCCCTTCTGGCAGTGCCTCCCTCTCTTTACAGGTACAGTTGTGATTCTTGGTGCAGTAATAATTTGCACCAGGCAAATAAACCCCCAGACCAGGAGACTCCAGCCTACAAACATACATTCCCAGGAATTGGTACAGACTTATGGAACAGGCTCAGGGTAGGTGGGAAAAACCTCTGCAGCAGATCAATCAAGCCTTTTGCGGCTGCAGTGACATCACTGGAATGGTTCCAACAAGTAGGGAAGTTGGGGCAGTTGAGGCAATTTTCCAAGTGATCACATGGGAGTCACAGAAAAGGGAAATATTGTATTTTCTCCATAAAAAGAAACATTCTTTACACAATTGGCTCTGTTTCATACCATTTCATGTCTTTCATTGTTTTATGTGCACTACATATCTTAAGAATTGAATAAAAATTACTTTATGGAAATTAAAGGAAGTTAAATAGATGTTGCATTTTAAAGTTCTTGTAGCTGGTCCAGCTGGTGTAATTTCTTTTTACCCTTGGACCAGACCTTTGGAAACCTCAGCATGTCCTAAATAAGCCAAGACCATATCCTGGTATACTCAAGGCCCACTGGGCATATATGTGTATATGTATTTCACTACTTGTGTTGTAATTACATGCTGTGTAATTCCATTTGCTCATGCTGTCCAAGCCAAAAATGTCAAACAAATGTTACTGTCAGCAGCGGAATCCCAGAAGTTGCTTGAGAAGGGAGTGCCTGGCTGTAAGGATGCAATATGAGTTCGGGGCGGGGGGGGGGGGGGGGGGGGGGGAAGAGAGGCAAATAAGGTCAAAAGGTGTTGGGGTGCAGTGCATGTCCTAATCTCCACGGCACTCATCCTTTGCCCACATGGCAAGCTCATCAGCAACCTGGTATGTAGCAAATGATCACCAGAGTATAGAATATGTTAAACACTGCTTCCTTATAAAAGGACTGGCTGGCTTTCTAGCAACAGCCAGTCTCTTTCTCCTCTTCATAGTCCTCCCTCTCCTGGCACCGGAGAGCTGCCAGGCTGCTGTAGCAAAGCTCACAAGCAGAAGCAGCCTGCAAAAGTGGCTCATGTAGCAGCTGCTCCACCAAACTCACAAACTCAGTTGCCACAACACTAGAGCAAATACTGAAAGTTTGCACTGTTGCGGGGAAATCAAGGATGGGCTTTCTGTTCTTCCACGTAATTCCTTCTGCAGAAAGCCTCTAAAGAGAACAAACTGTTCCCCTGGTGTTATGGAGCAACCGTGTGACTTTCACCAAGCACTAGAGACTGGGTACAAAATCATGCCTGTAGACCAGATAGATCTGGATGTGACTGTAATACCGCTTTTGAGGTCCGGAAAGCACAGCACAGCCATTCCCCAAAAGCATGAAACCTCAGTGGTGTTAATATATAAGAGTTTTACCTTCTTATTTTGTGTCTTTCAACATCTCCTTTTCCAGCCTCCACTGAGGGGCGAACTTACCACTGCAGCTACTTCCCCACTGTCCAAGAAGCCACAACCACAAGAAATTGTACTGCATCTTCACTCCCCGAGCAACCACACAGCAAGCATGCTACTGTTTGTGTGCTATTTATTTGTATCAGGAAGCCCTTACAGCAAAGAAACTACAGCCAGCTGAGAAGAAACGTGCTAATAAGGATTGCCTTAGGATTTCTCTTCAGGGAACAGGCAATTCTTTTAATGCAGATCTGAAGCTAATTTCTGCTCTCCAATGTATTGGTACTCGTCAGAGCCGTTTGATGAAAGCAGCTGGGTGGCAAGCAGTGACACCGTCTCCAGTTACTACAGCTGCATGGGGTTTTTTGTTTATTCTTGTTGTCAAAGAACAGGATTTTGTTTCATGGTTTCTCCAGCAAAAACATCTCTTAAGATCTGGAACTCTTTTTCTGGGACCTTTAGAAATTAATATGGCCTCACCTTTACCATCACATAGGGAATATGACTCAGTAGAGACCTAACATTACCTTTTCTCCCTAGGCAGGTGCTTCAGGAAATCTGAGATGGTAATACCGTACACCTAAGCCTACAAGAGGCTCAAGGAAACCTGAGATGATGACAAGCAAATCATTTTGTCGCCACTCAGGATGCTTTCTTTATTATTCTGAACATGTCCATCCTAGGGACCAAGCTTTGCCTGTGACTTCTGGACCGATGTCCACAGCTGGATCTAGACAGGCTGAGGAGCATGTGAGATTTTCAACGCAAATGGCTGAGGGAGTAAAAACAAAAAAGCACTCAGTTTTCCTGCCAGAAATGCTTTTTTTTCCCCCATTTATTGATGCTCGTAAAAGCAAAAGGAAAAGGGAGGTGGCAGTCTGGAGTTCCCACTCACCAGTCAGCACAAGTATGTTCATCTTTCCTCACGTCTGACACTTTTTCTTGATCCAAAGCTTAAACACTTGGTTACAAGGGCTGGGCATCCAAGCCTGCCCCAGTGCCCCCTAGTGAAAAAAGCGGTAAAAGCTAGACCTTGTTTTATCCAATATTGACTGTTCATTTCTACTGCAAACAGCAACTGCTGGTAATTAAAGCAGGACTCTTTGTCCTACTGTTTTGTAAACAATCTGGACTACTAGTCAACATGGAAATGATATGCAGATCTGTCTTTCATTTCCATCAGACCAGATGCTGATCCGCCTTTGCTTTTCCATTGCAAAACTCAGATCAGGACTTGGATGAGATTTAAATGACTGAGGTTTAACCCAGACAAGAGTCGGTTGTTGTTTGTGGAGAGAGACAGGGAGGTAGGGAGGGAGGTAGGGAGGGAAGAGCTCTGAGTGTGCAGAAGGGTGCGTCATGCCTACATACTCAGTTAAATTTCCTCTTAGGTTTCTGAGGAATTAAAAAAATTAGGACAGTGCTTTGGCCCTCTAGATACTGCAGATTAGGATGGGATTGGCTGGGCTGACACATAGATACTTTAAGGGAGTGAAGGTTCTCCGGAGCAGCTATTGTTGAAGGAGTCATGCCTCTAAAACATATTTGGAGCTGAATAGTCCCAGAAGCTGTGGAGAAGAAATCTGGTTTCCTCCCCAGCAGATCTCGGTATGCAGTATTTCTGAGACCTGAACTCCTTCTCACCACAGGGAATGAATCTCCTCTTCCCTCTGAAGTCTCCAAAAACAAGCTTTAGAGCTTCCAGCTTGAAAACAATCTGCTTTCCCAAAAGGCAGAATAGAGTTCTGAAGTTTTCTTTTAAATATTCATGATTAAAATTGGACTTTAATAGTTGCATGGATTCCTCTGAGGGTTGTGTTGTTGTTGTTTAATTAAAATGTGTGTTAGCAAAAGTGAAGAACATCCTTAAATTGCGTGGTAATTATGTCATGGAAATGAACCCCTTTCTTTTTGCTTTTTTTTCATTTCATAGGTAAGGTGACCTCATTCTTCCAAAAGGTAAGGCTGGGTTTTTTCATATATGCAGATCTAGTTCTCATTTCCCCACCTTTTTTTTTTTTTTTTTCTTTTTTTTTTAATGTATCATCCTGAAAAGACAAACTCTTATCTACAGAATTAAGGGATTTTATGATGACAATTGGTGTCATTACCTCTATTATACAGTAAGATAAAAGTAAGGTACATGCAGGTATAATGACTCATCCAGTATCATCCAAGAGGCTGATGGAAATGCTAGGGAAAAAAAAAACCCTGCCATTCTGAGTCCCAGGTCAATGCCCTGTCAGTGAGCCTCCACTAACTGTAAGGAACAATTAAGCATTCATATAGCCTTAGCAGAATTGCATAGCTCTTCATTGCTTCATTTCCCT